AGAAGAACCAGAACCAAGCCATGGAGTATAGCCTGATATTTACAGACCAGGAGATAAAGAAGAATAAGCAGCAAAGACTAAATGGCCTTTATTTTTATTAAGATTTTATTTATTTATTTATTTACTTACTTACTTACTTATTTGAGAGAGAGTGAAAGAGAGCAAGGGGAAGACCAGAGGGTGGGGGACAAGTAGACTCTGCACTCAGCACAGAGCCTGATGTGAGGCCTGATCTCAAGACGCTGAGATCATGACCTGAGCTGAAATCAAGTGTCGGACACGTAACAAAGTGAGCCACCAAGGCATGCCCTAAATGGCCTTCAGAAGGAACATGTGCTGTCAGATGAACATGATGTCTGGAAAGTGAAGAAAATTTTCTGAGGAAAAGAGAGTGATCATTGTGACAAATGCCACTGGTAGGTAAAAAAAAAAATGAGGGCTGAGAAATGAGCATTGATTAAACAATGTGGAAAACATGAGTGACCTCAAAGAGAAGTCCCGATGAAGTGGTGCAGTGGTAAAAATTCTATTCAGAGTGGATTCAGGAAGAATTGATTGGTACTTGGATGAGGAAAATGTTAGATGTGAAATGAGAGGTACTAAGTGTATTGTAAAAGGTGTGAGGTGCAAAGTAGACCTGGTACGGTGTGGAGCCTAAATAGAATTTAAGTTCAACTTACTTTCCTCCTAGGTTCAAGAATAAGCCAAGGCTGTCAGTTTTCAGCACTTCTATTCCATATCGTGTTAGGGGTCCCAGTAGTACAATTGGCAAGAAGACAGAAGGCATAAGATTGGAAAGAAAATAAAGTTGTCCTTAGTCACACACAACATGAGTCTGTGCAGAAACTCCTAAAGAATCTACCAAAAAAAAAGCTACCAGAACAGGGGGCACCTGGATGGCTCAGTCGATTAAGCAACAGACTCGCGATTTCGGCTCAGGTCACCATCTCAGTTTCCTGGGACTGAGCCCTGCATCAGGTTCCGTGCTCGGCGGGGAGTCTGCTTGGAATTCTCTCTCTCCCTCTGCCTCTGCCCCTCCCTCCACCGCCCGCTCATGCTCTCTCTCTCTCTCTCTCTCAAATAAATAAAACCTTTTTTAAAAATTTAAAACTTTTGTTCTTGGAAAGAAATCATTAAGAGAATGAAAAGACAAACCACAGATTGGGGGGAAAAATTGTGAAACGTATTCTGGCAAAGGATTGGTATTCAGACAAATAACCCAATTTTTTGAATGAGCAAAAGATTTGAAATAAAACTTCACCAAAGAAGATAAATAAAATAAGTACCTTGAAAAGACGAAAAATTGCATTAGTCATTAGGGAAACGTAAATTAAAACCACAATGAGATATCACTGCATACCTCCTAGAATGGCTAGAATTTTTAAATTTGGCAACACCAAGTGTTGATGAGGACATGGAACAACTGAAATTCTCACCATTGATCTCACTAATGCAAAATGATACAGGATGCCATTTTGGAAAGAGCTGGGAGTTAAACATACACTTACAATTCAATCCAGCCACCCCACTGGTATGTATTTACTCGAAGAAAATTAAAACATATGTGCACACAAACACTTATATTTGAATGTTCATAGAGCTCTATTCATAATAGGCAAAAACTGTAAATAATCCAAATGACACAATGTCAATGAAGAAGCAAATTATGATTTGCAATAAAAAGGAACAACTGTTGCTATGCACAGCACAGGTGAATCTCAAAAGTATCATGATAAGTGGAAATCAGACACAAAAGGATAACTCTTAGTTGATTGCATTTATGTGAAATTCTAGAAAAGGCAAAGCTACAGTGACAGAAAATAGATCAGTGTCTCCCAGGCTGGGGGACAGGGAAAGGAATTAACTGCAAGAAGGCACAAAGGAACTTTTTAGAGAAATGAAAATGTTCTATATTTTGACTGTAGTGGTACTTACATGACTATGTGTTTATCAAAACTCAACAAACTACATTTTAAACTGGTGAATTTTTTTATATGTAAGCTACACCTGAATCAAGTTAATTTTTTAAATTAAAGGTGTTCTCTTTCATTACTAGCAAAAGCCAACCTGAAATAATTAGAGAAGAACTTTTATAGCTCATGAGTCACCTCAGTAGAGATGGAACAAGAGGAGAATTATAGTAAAATTATAATGCATTGATTTGGTTGAAGCTCTAATGAACATCAGGAATTTTCCCTTCTGACTCACTGTACTTGGTAACTTCCACTGCCTCTGCCCATTAATAGCACTGAACCACGAGTTTACAAAAGGAAATGTAATTAAAGTGAATGGCTCCCTTTTGGCTGGAACCACCATCTTCCAGTAATTCGCCAAAATGACCAACACAAAGGGAAAGAGGAGAGACACCCACTCTATGTTCTCCAGGCCTTTTTTAGAAAACAGAGTGGTTCCTTTGGCCACATACATGCCAATCTATAAGAAAGGTGATACTGTAGACATCAGGAGAACGGCACTGTTCAAAAAGGAATGCCCCACAATCGTTACCATAGCAAAACTGGAAGAGTCTATAATGTTACCCAGCATGCTGTTGACATGGTTGTAAGCAAACAAGTTAAGGGTAAGATTCTTGCCAAGAGATTTAATGTACGTATTGAGTATATTAAGCACTCAAAGAGCCAAGATGGCTTCCTGAAGTGTGTGATCAGGAAAAAAAGGAAGCCAAAGAGAAAGGTGCTTGGGTTCAACTGAAATGCCAGCCTGCTCCACCTGGAGAAGCACACTTTGTGAGAACCAATGGAGAGGAGCCTGAGCTGCTGGAACCCATTCCTCATGAATTCATGGCATGATAAGTGTAAAAAATAAAAGACCTCAAGACTGTTAAGTAAGTAAATAAATTAAAGCCTCCTCTGTGGAGTATGTCCACCTTCCCAATCCACCTGTAATGCTACTTCTCAATGATCCCTCATCCCCCGAAAGCAGTGTGATATTGTAAGGAAAGCAAAGGCTCTCAAGTTTGTCACACCTGTTTGAAGCCCCAGCTTCTTCACTTTCTAGTGATGGGACCCAGGGCAAATTACCTGGCTTATCTTAGCCTCAGTTTTTTCTCATCTGAAAAATGGAATGTGATTGCTTAGTCATGTCTAGGACATTTGGGAGGAGGAATAGGTCCATAGCTAGAAGGAAAACGTGTTTATTAGCAGATCACCCTTGTATAGAGGATGGATAAAGCATTTCTTTATTCTTCTGATTGAGTCACTGTGAGTTATATTATGAGAAAGCCAGAACCAATCCAGTTTTTTTGGAGTCCACTCGGATGAGCTCCCAATAGCTCTGGCCTTCCTCATTATTTCTACAGGTCATTTTCCTGTTTCTCTGTCCTCCCATGGGATCTATGTGCCATCTGGAAAGTGCTGTGTACATTGCTAGAGGGGGAGATATCTACAGGAAACAAAAAATTTCCTGTTGAATTATAGCAGTATTATATTTTTAAAATCTCTGTACTTTGTATAACCAACCAAAGGAAGTCAAAGGTAAGAAGGAGCTAAAAGGGAAAAAAAAAAGGGGGGGTGCCTGGGTGACTCAGTCGTTAAGTGTCTGCTTTCGGCTCAGGTCATGATCCCAGGGTCCTAGGACCGAGTCCCGCATCAGTCTCCCTGCTCGGCAGGAAGCCTGCTTCTCCCTCTCCCACTCCCCCTGCTTGTGTTCCCTCTCTCGCTGTGTCTCTCTCTGTCAAATAAATAAATAAAATCTTTAAAAAAATAAAAGAAAAAACTATATTCTTTCACAAACTCTATCATGTTTATGTTGGAGCATTGGAAATAATATATGTTAAGTTCTTGGAATATTAAAAACACTCTAACTGAGCCATGAAAAAAAAAACCCAACCTTACTATTCACAGAGTCTTCTCTTCGTCTTGTGCATACAGAGAAGCCTCTCTTTGGTCAGACAGTCCCCAGGTTCAATCAGGGGTAATGGAGGAGGAAGAGAAATGAGATTCACTGCAAAAAGCAAAATGGGTTACTCAGAAGAGTGAACATCCATTGAGGAGTAGCACCACAAATGGCTACATTTGAGAGAGTTTGGGGAAATTTTTGAGAGAAAATGGGAGCGGGCAGCATCTGTTGTGCCATGCAGTGTGAGAAAGGGAAGGAGAGAGAGAGACAGAAATTGGGAAAGATAATTTTAAGGAGTTTTTATGTATGTAAGAGTGTAAGCCTGTTTTGCCTTTTTCCAAGAATCCAAAAAAGATCTAAGTTGATTTTCAGTTACCTCCTAATGACATCATGCTCAGATGGGCCCAGAGTGGCCCAGCTTTAACCGTGTCTATAAATACTTAATAAATATAATGGCTTCCTCTCTGGAGCCCAGATCAACTCCCTTGAAGTTACAGTATTGTACTTCCATTATTATGACACATCATGCACTAAAGCTGGCCCTGTGTATGTACATCTCCCCTACCAGGTTGTAGACAGGCGCTTTGAAGGCAGGGCTTGTGTCTTAATCGTCTTTGTGTCCGGTAGCCTCTCCAGCTTCCAGTCACCTCGTCAGTGAACTGCGCAAAAGAGATTTCAACAATTAGTGTGAAATAAACGCATGGGTGGTGGATGAATGGAACTGAACTTAAAGGGCCATTTCTTTAGCAATATCTATGACAGCACCGTCTTCTCCCCCACCACCTGATGGACTCCGTTGAGGGACCATGTCCGTCCTCGTCGTCACTTTACCGCCAGCACTTGCACTATGTTAAGCCCACAGTAAGCATTGAAATCATTTTCGTATCCCCTAGAAATGAAGATTTCAGCGCATCAGGAATGGAAGAGAGTAAAACAGTCCAAGGCCGAACGGAAGTGGGTCGCCTTGGTGAGACCGCTGTGTGAAGAGCAGTGCCCGCCTGCCTTGGGCTGGGGGGTAAAGCACAGGAATCCACCAGGAGACGCCTGGGAACGGCGGGTGATCGCCGGCGCCCGCCTCTCCTCCGCAGCGGCAGGTGGCGCTGTGGCCCCGTGCGGCAGCTAGGGCCGCGCGGCGCCTCTCTCTGGGCAGGGTGGGGAGTCGGCCGGAGGACCTGCGGCGGGCCCTCTTCGGCCGCTCTCTGGCCCCATCTCCCTCGGCGTCTGACTGTGCGCTCAGTTCTGCACCATGGGGAAGCGGGACAATCGGGTGGTGAGTACCCGGTGGGAAGAGCAGTGGGGCGACGCGGGACCCGGCGGCAGGATAGCGGAGCCCCTTGCTCTTCCCGACGGGGCCTGAGGGTCAGCGGCGTCTCTTGGACCTCGAGCCGGGCGACCCAGCTCCCCCCATCCCCGCCGGCCCCAGACGCGCGTGCGCCGCGCACACAGTTGGCGCGTTTGGGCCCCCCACTCTCTCCTCTCTTTTTCCTCCTCTCTCGAGTCCCCCGTTTTTCTCAACGCCGCCGCACCTTCTGGCAGTTTTCCCTGGCTCCCTTCCCTCCCGCACTCGGGCTAGCAGTGCCCAGTTTTTGAAGCCACAAGGGCTCAAGGAGTTCTGTCTCCTCTTGTATGTTTGTCCTAAGTCTGAGGCCCCTGGAGGCGCCGGGACTCGCCCTCTCCTCGGGATCGCCCACCCTGGCTCCGCGCCCCAGTGGTGCGCACGCAGGTGGGATGGAGGCGTGGAGGCCTCGGGCGCGGCCCCTCTCCGCGGGCCTGCCGCGCGCCCAGTTCTAGCGGCGGGCAGGCTCCCGTTTGAGGACCAGGATCGAAGCGTTTGGCTTCGTGTCCTCAGCACCTAGCACTGCCTGGCACCTAGTAGGCCCTGTGTAGGAATGAAGGGTGAAAACAGTTGTCTTTGGAATGCGGCATGGACTGGAATGTCAATTTTGGACCTTCGGGAGTTGAGTGACCAAGACGAGTTGCGTTTCTTCTCCGAGCTTCAGTTTCTTCATCTATAAAGGGGCATCAGTGTTAATCCACAACTTTGCAGAATAGTTAAAACCGCAAAAGGCAAATGGCCAGGAATGCTTGGCCTGAAAGTTGTTCTAGTAAATGAGATAAAGGAGACACAGGAATAAGTAATAGCAGAAAGAGTAGGAAATATTTTGTGATGGAGATTCGGGGCTCTGAAGGCATTCAAAAGAGAAGGTGCTTTTGACAGGAGGAGATGGGGGGAAGGCATTCTACATGGCTCCTAGTTTGGTTTGGAAAATCCAGATAATGAATCAGACTGGATGGACAGTAAACATAATAGGTTGCAGCCTCACAGTTCCTGGATTTGTCTTTGACAGAGTTTCAGCCACTGAGCAGCAAAACAAAACTAAATAAATACATGCAGTTACTAAAGTTAATATACTAAATTTAATGAACTACTAAGTGATTTTTGGTTTTTCGGGTAATGGGGAGCTGCTAAAAGAGCTTTACTTTTATGAAATGGTGGCATTTCTTATCTTCAGAACGTTTGTTTTAATTTCATATAGGCTTCATAATCAAAGATGTCTAGGAACCGCAGTGGTGAGCCTTAATTACAAGGTTAAGGAATGTTCTTTTCTTCTGCTTTCCTGACTAGGTCAGACCTTGTTGTGGTATCCTGATTATCATAGAGTTGAAATGGTGTTCTGCTGGAGCATCCTTAGGTTTGAGGTGTTAGAGTGTTTTGATTCTTTTATGACTGAGGGTTTGAATGTTTAGAGATCCCCAGACCGTGGATACAGTTTCATACAGAGGTCTAAGATGTTTTGTTTTTGTTTTACTGGGGAGAAGTGTTGGTTTACACATCCCTTTGAAGCATTTGAAACTTTTCAAGTTAGCTTCATTTACCAGAACATTTTGATAATTACTCTGGGCTCTACTTATTACTTGGTATGCTTTCGTGGCACAGTGTTCTGGTAACATTTTTTATTTGCACTTGAAAGGTTGTGGGAATGAAAACATGAAATCAAGAGTTAGAAGACAGATTGTCTAATTTAGTCTCCTCGTTGCATGAAGGAGGAGATGGAACTGTTTAAACTTGGACCAAAACTGGGGTCGTCTGATACTTAGTTCAGTACATCATAACTCTTGGTTTTAAATAAAAGGATTGTTTGCCCCTGAAAATAATGGCGTTTTTTTCTTCTTACATTGATGGTAAAATCATAGTTCTAAAGATGATAGAATTGCCTTCTAAAAAACTCATAAAGTCGAGGTTGAAAGTTTTGTTTTCAAAAAAAGACTTTGCTTTGGGTTGCCTAACTGGCTATGGGCAGAACAAGCTACTCTTGAGCTCAGGGTTTTAAGTTCAAGCCCCACCTTGGGTGTAGAGATTACTTAAAATCTTTTTTAAAAAGGTAGACTTTACTTTTTAGAGCAGTTTTGGATTCATAGGAAAATTGAGCAGTGAGTACAGAGAGCTCCCATATATTCCGTGACCACAGTCATGCACAGCCTCCCCTACATTCAAAGCTGCTCCGGAGTGGTATATTTGTTACAGTTTTGGTTTTTTGTTTTTGTTTTTGTTTTTGCATTGTTAAAATTAATGAACCTATCTTGACACATCATTTTCACCTGAAGTCCATACTTTACATCAGGGTTCACTCTAGGTATTTGTACGTTCTTGAACGTTTTCTTTTTTTTAACTAAACATTTTAGTTCTCAAGATTTGTAAAGGGTGCTTAAATTCATGATGGCCACCCTTTGTCCCCATGGTTTTCCAGAAGTTTCCTTCATGTTCTTTTTGCTACTTTGTGCCCTCTAAAACAGATGCATCCTCTAGATAAAAATAGGTAATCAAAGTAACACGAAGGTCTGCACATTTTGTTCTTGCATCTCTCTGTTCAGTATCTGCCAACTTACCTATTCCCTTGAGCCCAATTTGCCATCCTGAGTTTCTTTTTTAAGATTTTATTTTTAAGTACTCTCTACACCCAGTGTGGGGCTCGACCTGGCAACCCTGAGATCAAGAGTTGCGTGCTCCAGCGGCGCCTGGGTGGCTCAGTCGTTAAGCGTCTGCCTTCGGCTCAGGTCATGATCCCAGGATCCTGGGATCAAGCCCCGCATCGGGCTCCCTGCTCCGTGGGAAGCCTGCTTCTCCCTCTCCCACTCCCCCTGCTTGTGTTCCCTCTCTTGCTGTGTCTCTCTCTGTCAAATAAATAAATAAAATATTCAAAAAAATAAAATAAAAAAAAAAAGTTGCGTGCTCCACCGACTGAGGCAGCTGGGTGCCCCGATGTCCTGAGTTTCAAAAAGAGATTGTTTTCTGTTACCCAAATTCATGTAGCGGTTTGGAGACACTTCTAATTACATATGAATACAAGTGTTCGATTTATAAGATCACAGTATTTAAAGTGATTAAGTCATAGTGAGACAGTTCAAGAAATGCACAATTTCTTTATTTTAACTGATGCCTGACCATTCACCCCCTTAAGGTTAAGTACATTGTTTTTCATACTGATACATAGTAAGTGAAAAGGCTTTATCTTTGTAAGAAAATTAATTCTTTTTTAAAAACCTTTGTATTGTGCATAGTAAAAGGAAGCATTGTTGCTTAATGATTATGAGCGTAGACCATCAAGTGTTTTGCAAAGGAGCCTCGAACGTGCACTTAATAAATACTGCTTTTACAATTGAAATAAATAAGTGAAATATTTGGAATGTAATTTAAGCAGACTAAGGATAGTGTTTATGGCCAAAAACTTGAAAGTTAAACCTTATTGCATAGACAATGATAGCTCATGTGATTGTACTATAAGTTGTCTATAATTAATAGCCTTAGCATGTGAATATACTACTTTACTATTTAATTTTCCTCTGAAAAGTAAACCCTAAGACAGACTGGTATGTACTTTGGGGAAGCAGTTTCACAATAGATATTAAGGCACATAAATGTTAATTAATGTAATTTTAAGATACATGCTAGAATGTTTGAAGACTGTAAAACTTGGTAAACGTGTTTTGATTTTTTTTTTAAAGTAGGCTCCACGCCCAACCTGAGGCTTAAACTCATGACCTCAAGATCAAGAGTCAGATCAAGAGTAGCATGCTCTATTGACTAAGCCAGCCAGGTGCTCCACAATTTTTTTTTTTTTAATGATTTTATTTATTTATTTGAGAGAGAGAGAATGAGAGATAGAGAGCACGAGAGGGAAGAGGGTCAGAGGGAGAAGCAGACTCCCTGCCGAGCAGGGAGCCCGATGCGGGACTCGATCCCGGGACTCCAGGATCATGACCTGAGCCGAAGGCAGTCGCTTAACCAACTGAGCCACCCAGGCGCCCCCACAATTTTTTTTTAATGAGAATGAAAAGTTGCCACTGTACTCTTTGTGAATTTTTACTTGAAGACAGTTTAGCTTCTCAATTGGAGTGGCAGCATTGTGGTTGAATTTTTCTCTTTTTTTTTTTACCTTTAATATAACGATGTTTGTGTGTAGTTTCTTTGTTTTAATTTTTGTTTTTCTTTTATAAAGGTAATGGGTTGTTGTTGTTGTTGTTTTTAATCTCTCCAGTGTATGAAATGACAAAAGTGGACCTCTCCCTGTACATTTCGGTGCATCTGGATTTTTTTAAAAAATTATAACTGTTTATTAAAATGGTATCTTATTTTTTGGCAACTTGCTTTTGCTTTTCATTTGAGAAATCTTGGGCATCTTTCTATATCAGTAACTATAGATCTGTCTCTTTTTAGTGGCTGCATAGTATTTCATTTTGAGGATATACTTTATAATGCATCTCAGTTTGATGGCTCTCTGTGTATTTTCAGTTTTCCCTATTTTAGTAATTTAGTTGTGAACATCCTTGTATATATTTGCATTCTTTGGAAATAAACAGTTTTTACAGTTTTAAACTTAAGATATTTTATCCTTAACTGCTATTAAAATTATGACATGGTACCAAAGAAATGAGAAGATGTTAGATAGATAGATAGATAGATAGATAGATAATCTCCTGTTTTAACAATGATGAGCTTGGCTTTGCACATTGTACCTGCTTCTGGTTATTAGGATTGTCAGTATCATTAGTAGGGCCAACATCTCCTCTATTGCAGCCTCCATTGGTTGTCGTATTTCTCCGCATGAACTGAGTGAAATTCTCAGCAGAGGCAGTTGAATGAAATATTTGAGAACATAACAGTTGATGTAAAAAATGTGAGTATATGTCTCTCTCTAAAGAGAGTTGAATTTGATACTCACATCTAGCCCTGATTTTGTAAACATTCCTGACATTAAGAGCTCTAGCATTAATTCCTGCCTGTAAGAAAATTGTTAATGGATTTTTTCATCTGAAGTAATTAAGCAGTATCCAGTTGAATGGCAGTAGTTCTCAGTATGTGTTGTTTATAATGGTTTTATATTGTTTGCTCTGCCGGAGAAATCTGGAAATATATAACCCATATTTGTTATTTGGGAAATGTTGGTCATTTTCACAAGTTTTGCTAAATACAATGCAACAAATACATTAATATCCTTTCACTTCCTTGGGAACATTAAGTTAGAGGTTTAAGGCCTTAAAATCAACCTTGATAGTAGTCCTGTTTGACCACAATTCTTTTTATTTAAAAAGTGGAAGAGTTTTGGGGCGCCTGGGTGGCTCAGTCAGTTAAGTGTCCAACTCTTGATTTCAGCTCAGGGTTGTGGGATTGAGCCCTGTGGGGGGCTTCGGGCTCGGCACAGAGTTTGCTTGTCCCTTTCCCTCTGCTCCTCCCCAGCTCGCGCTCTCACACTCTCTCTCAAATAAATAAATGAAATCTTTAAAAAAAAATTGAAGAGAGGTGCCTGGGTGGCTCAGTTGGTTAAGCCTTTGCCTTCAGCTGAGGTCATGGTCCCAGGGTCCTGGGATTGAGCCCCGCATCAGGGGGAAAGCCTGCTTCTCCCTCTCGCCCTGTCCCTCTCCCCTGCCCCTCTCCCCTGCTTATGCTCGCATGTGCTCTCTCTCTCAAATAAATAAAACCTTAAAAAAAAAAAAAAGTTTTTGTAAATGCTTGTTGACCTGGATTAAATTTGGAAAACCAAATATGAGGATCAAGAGATTGAGACTAAATTCAAGACCAAATTTTATATATGTAACACAGTTAATTTTATTTATTTTTAAAGATTTTTATGTATTTATTTGCGAGAGTGTGTGCGCATGTGCAGGCAGGCAAGCAGGGGGAGGGGCAGAGAGAGGGAGAAAGAATCTTAAGCAGGCTTCATGCCCAGCACTGAGCCCAACTTGGGGCTCAGTCTCACAACCCTGGGATCATGACCTGAACCAAAACCAAGAGTCGGATGCTTAACTGGTTGAGCCACCCACGCACCCCTGTGTAGCAGTTAATTTTAATAAAACAACATCTCTTTGCTAGATACTGTCATTAACAAAGAAACCTGCTTTATTTTGTCTGGATATTTTTGAAAACATCTAAAAATGTGGTTTTCTGCTATAATAAGTACAATATACAGAGCATAATTTGATTTTGGGGGTTCTTTATTGTGCAAAAATAAACATAACAAGGTTCACTGTCTTAGCCATTTTTAAGTGTTTAAGTCAGTGGCATTAAGTACATTCACACTGCTATGCAACTGTTGCCACTATCCATTTCCAGAACTTTTTATCATCCCAAACAAGAAGCTCTGTACCCATTAAATAGTAACTCCCAATCACTTATCCCCCCCTCCTGCCGCGCCAGCCCCTGGAAACCTCTTTTTACTTTCTGTCTCTGTGAATTTGTTTATTTTAGGTACCTCATATAAGTTGAATCATACGATATTTGCCCTTTTGTGTCTAGATGGTTTCACTTAGCATGTTAACAAGGTTCATTCATGTTGTAGCATATTAAGAATTTCATTTCTTTTTTTTTTTTTTAAGGGTGGGCAGGGGAAGAGGGAGAGAGAATCTTAAGCAGGCTCCACGGCCAGCACGAAGCCAGACCTGGGGCTAGATCTCGTGACCCTGGGATCAGGACCTGAGCTGAAATCAAGAGTCGCACACTTAACCAATTGAGCCACCCAGGCGCACGAATTTCATTTCTTTCTAAGGCTGAATAATATTCCATTGTGTGGGGCGCCTGGGTGGCGCAGTCGTTAAGCTCATGCTTAACCTGCCTTCCGCTCAGGTCATGATTTCAGGGTCCTGGGATCGAGCCCCGCATTGGGCTCCCTGCTCTGCAGGAAGCCTGCTTCTCCCTCTCCCACTCCCCCTGCTTGTGTTCCTGCTCTCGCTATCTCTCGCTCTGTCAAATAAATAAATAAAATCTTTTAAAAAAGTATTCCATTGTGTGTATATGCCACATTTCGTTTATCCATTCATCAGTAGATGGATATTTGGATTGTTTCCACCTTTTGGCTGTTGTGTATAATGCTGCTCTGAACATGAGTGTACAAGTATCTGTTTGAGTCCCAGCTTTCAGTTATTTTTCAATTCCAATTAGAGATGGAATTGCTGGATCATCAGGTCATTCTGTATTGAACTTTTTGAGGAAATCAAACTTTTCCACAACAGCCGCACCCTTTTATATTCTCACCAGCAATATCCAAAGGTTCCGGTTTCTCCCTGTTTTTGACAGCACTTGTTATTTTCTGCATTTGATAATAGTCATCCTAATGGGTGCAAGGTGGCATCTCATTGTAGTTTGATTTGCATCTCCCCAGTGACTAGCGAGTTGAACATCTCTTCATGTGCTCTTGGACATTTGAATATCTTCTTTGGAGAAATGTTTCTTTTAAGTGCTTTGCACATTTAATTGGGTCTTTGGGTTTTTTGCTGTTGAGTTGTAGGATTTCTTTATGCATTCTGGATATTCCATATCAAGTGTATGAGTTGCAAATATTTTCTCTCATTCTGTGGATTGTCTTTTCACTCCTTTGGTGTGTTCTTTAATACACAAATGTTTTAATTTTGATAAAGTCCTATTTATCTGTTTTTTTCTTTTGTTTGTGCCTAATTTAATTTTTGGTGTTAACAGTTGACGAGTAAAATTGCCATCAGTATGGCATAGTATTTCCTGAGATAAAAGATATAGTAGAGGGGTTGCCTGGGTGGCTCAGTCGTTAAGCGTCTGCCTTCGGCTCAGGTCGTGATCCTAGGGTCCTGGGATCAAGCCCCATATCAGGCTCCCTGCTTGGCGGGAAGTTTGCTTCTCCCTCTCCCACTCCCCCTGCTTGTGTTCCCTCTCTCGCTGTGCCTTTCTCTGTCAAATAAATAAAATCTTTTTATAAAAAAAAAAAGATAATAGAATAAGCAATGGATTTAAAGTTACATCTTTAGCTTCTTTGCAACTGAGTTTCTTCATTTGCCAGTGAGCATAGTGTTATTAGCCTTACAGGGTTATCGGGCTTTAGGAGAAAACAATAAAGTCATCTTACAGTAAGAAAGAGGTATCATGGGTGCGTGGGTGGCTCGGTTGGTTAAGCAACTGCCTTTGGCTCAGGTCATGATCCTGGAGTCCCGGGATCGAGTCCCGCATCGGGCTCCCTGCTCAGCAGGGAGTCTGCTTCTCCCTCTGACCCTCTTCCCTCTCATGTGCTCTCTCTCTCTCTCTCTCTCATTCTCTCTCTCAAATAAATAAAATCTTAAAAAACAAAAAAGAGGTATCATTATTATTTTCATTAAATCTCTGGTGAAAAAAATTTTTTTTCTGTGAAGTAGCGATATTACTCGTCTCCCAAACTTGTGAGACTTGGTAGACCATTAAATTTAGATTTTGTAATGAAAATTCGGTTAGTCAGGTTGTTCATGCTTAGTTAGACATAGTATGCATTTACAATAAAGCATGCTTGGTGAGTAAGTGAGCATTTGCATTTTTGATGTTTTTTTTAATTGAGTTAATTTTTGTTCTTTCCTCAAGGCCTATATGAACCCAATAGCAATGGCCAGATCAAGGGGTCCAATCCAGTCTTCGGGGCCAACGATCCAAGATTATCTGAATCGACCAAGGCCTACCTGGTATTTGTGAAACAATTTAGACATTCATAAGGTTTTTGTAAATTTTTTAAAGGTTACTGTTAACAGCTCTTATTGCTTGCAAAGCATAATTTTTTGAAGTGATGTTCACAGGTGCTTTCTTTTCAATGTATGAAACACATGCATCAGTGTAAAGCATTATGCATCAGTGTAAAGCAAATATTTGAGAATCCACCACCCTGTATAGCTACCAGAAAACCTTTCATACCGATCTCTTCTCTATCCCCTAAAGGGACCTTAACCTTGCAGTGTTTTAAGCTATTTAAAATGGTAGGTTTGACTAATCTTGCCCTTCACTGAGGTGTAACTAGGTGTTAGGAAGGATAATGTTAGGCCGTGTTTCTATTCATATCTGGTGGCTTTTTGATAAGTTAGAATTTCCCATTGTAAAATTTTGTTTTAAATTGTTTGGGGGTTTTTATTTGCCCTCATTGAGTAGCTCTGATCATTGGTAAATAAAGCATCACAGCACTGGCCTTGTTATTTTTTAGTATGTCTTATTATTAAACGGCATGGTTGTTAGCTTCATAATCCTTCTAAGTGCCCCTAAAGGTTGGGCAACTATAGCTGAAATTTATGCTTACATATAATAGGGGATCTTTCCTTTGAGTTAAATAGAAAGTAAGCCACGTCTACCTCTTAGAGTATTCATGAGTAGTGCTGTTGTTGACTGTTGCAGCATACCAGAAAGTTATCCCGAAACAAAATATATTTTACCTTTAAAACTGGGGAGAAGAAATGAACGTTAAAGAGGAAGTGCTCAAGCAAGTATATTATTTGTGTGTCAGAGTCCCCCAAGACAGCCCTCAGATTAGGTAATTTGCTAGAAGGACTCCCAGTTAGATGGACTTTGGATAAGATTTATTACAAAGGGTACCAGCCACAATCAGCAAAGGGAAAAGGTACATGGGGTAAAGTCTGGGGGAGACTAGGCTCAGACTTGTACGACTTCTTCTCTTGTAGAATCACATAGGACACATTTAATCCCCTCAGCAATGAGTTGTAACACATATGAGATGTTGCCAACCAGGGGAGTTCATGAAAGACTCCATGTGCCCAGGCTTTTTATTGGGGACTGGTCAGCCTCTGCCTCTCAGGTGCCAAAATTCCAGACTCTTAGAAGGAATTCAGGTGTTCAGCCTCAACAGTAGTATTTGTATAGTGAGCCATTCTTAGGAGGGAATGGTAAGGACCTGTCCAAAATCCAAGTTCCCAGATGCCAGCCAGGCCCAAACTTGTAAGCAGGCCTTTCTAGGAATAAGCAGTCAGGCATGCTGTAGCAACACTTCTCTGTGCAGTATGTTAGGTGCATTATAAAATAGACGTTTAGTCATAAAAATAGTAGTTTACATAGACCCTAACACTGAAACTACTAGCTTTGGGAATCTAGGCAGATCTCTTAACTTCCGTGAGCTTCCCTTCTTTATCTGTAAAATAGGGGTAATAATACTGTGTTTTCTCACAGGATTGTTATGAGGATTAAAGGAAAATGTATTAAAAACAGTGCCACTTGTATGTAAGTGCTCAAATGTTTGGTGTATTAGCTCTTATAATCCATGCTTAGAAAAGGAATGATCAGTGGTATCTGACAGACTGTATTCATGATAATTGATTTACAAGGATGTGAACAAAAAATTTTTAAATGTATTAACACTGAAATGGAGGTTTATTAGGATATTAAGAAAATTTTATTTATGAAGTTTTTGTTGTTTTGTTTGTAAGCATCCATCTCTAATTTGAATTGCTTGAAAACTTATTTGTATATTCTCTTTTTTAAGGGAAGAAGTGAAAGAACAACTAGAAAAGAAAAAGAAAGGCTCCAAGGCATTGGCTGAATTTGAAGAAAAAATGAATGAGGTTTGTAAATAGTACCTGTTTGAAAAAATAGGTGCCCCAAATGTATGATTTCTTTAAAATAAAAAGAGGAAAACCGTATTATAGTAATTTATGTCATCTTAGGTTTTCTAAAATTGGGTTCTTCTCTTTATCTTCCCATGCCCTCATGTGCCCATATTACCCTGGGGTTTCCATGATGTTTGCCTGTTTTGATTACAAACATGTATGTAGTATTTCAGCTACAGTATAGATTAATGCAGGGTTGCCTAGCTAGCTCAGTCGGTAGAGTAAGCAACTCTTGAACTCAGGGTTGTGAGTTCGAGCCCCATGTTGGGTAGAGAGATTACTTAAAAACCTTTAAAATATATATATGGATGGATAGATAAGTTCAGCTTTTACTGTCTGGAAAGAGAATCTGACCATCTTCTTTAAAAAGAAAAAAGTTTCTCAGCCTCAGTGATAATACCGACTCCTCCTCTCAATATACAGTGGAGAACTCCCACTCTTTAATACCCTCTTTGAAAAGAGCTGTTGGGGCTGGGCGCCTGGGTGGTTCAGTCGGTTAAGCGGCCAACTCTTGGTTTCAGCTCAGGTCGTGATCTCAGGGTTGTTAGATTGAGCCCCGTGTCCGGCTCCAGGCTCTGCTGGAAGTCTGCTTGTCCATCTCCCTCCCCCACTGTCCTTCTCCCTGCTCGCATGCGCAAGCTTTCTCCCTCAAATAAATAAATAAAATCTTTAAGAAAAGAAAAGAACTAACGTGGCGCCTGGGTGGCTCAGTGGGTTAAGCGGCTGACTCTTGATTTTGGTTCAGGTCACAATCTCAGGGTTGTGAGATTGAGCCCCACGTCAGGCTCTGTGCAGAGTCTGCTTAAGATTCTTTCTCTCACTCTCCTCCCCACTGCACGCCCCACCCCCACTCACACTCTCAAAAGAAGGAAATAAAGAAAGGAGCTAGTAAAGGATCCTTTGGTGACCGGGTTCTGGCACCTGGAGTACCTTTTCCCTGTACTTAGAGGCCAAGATGGTGAGAGGTAGTAGAAGACAGAGGGAAGGAAGTAGTGGCTGTCTGTATCAGGTGTATTAGAAGGGGATAGATAGCCTCTGATGGTGTTTATAACCTTTTTGCAGAACTGGAAGAAAGAACTAGAAAAACACAGGGAGAAATTATTAAGTGGAAGTGAGAGCTCATCCAAAAAAAGACAGGTAATACTATTTTAAGCTTAATGCTGTTTTTAATGTCACACTTGGGTTTTCATAATCTGTGTACTACTATCAATAGATAATTTTAGAAACTCACATCAACTTATTTAGATTTGTACTTTGTTTGCTTTTAGAGAAAGAAAAAAGAAAAGAAGAAATCTGGTAGGGTGAGCAAAAGTTTTCCATTTTTCTAAATGTTACAATTAAGAGCCTACAAGAAAAGTAAGAATAATTTATATGATCTGTATGCTAACTGTAAATGAGTCAAGGAGCCTTGAAGTCCTTTGGTAGTTATGGGTGGGTTTGTTATATTAGCAATATAAAGAAAAGCACCAACCTCCTTATAACCTAGTAATTCCTCTCTTGCTGTCAGGGAGAGAAAGGGGGAAATTGACTACCATTGGCATATCTGTTGTTACTTTGTTGAGCCTTTTTTGTGTGTGTGAGGGAGTGTGGGGAGTGTGACATTTGACATTTTAATATTTAAGTCTTCTGAATATGCTATCTCTCAGACACTAGATTGATTTTGTTAAGTTTTTGAGAAACTTAGTGATAAAAAAATTCCTGCATCTCACAAGCTTTAATTGTTTTGTGCTTGGTCAAGTATTCATCTTCTTCTTCATCAAGCTCTGATTCTTCCAGCAGTTCTTCGGATTCTGAAGATGAGGTAAGGTTTGCCTGTAACGGTTCATGAAATAATAATCTCTAGTTTATTTAATGACAAGAGGAAATCCATTATGAAATATGTTAGAAACTTTGACTTCCAGGTTTTGGTTAATTATACATAAACTGAGAGCATTGACATGAATAAATAACTAGATATTTAAATATTTTTATCTAATACCTATATATGTATTTTTTAGGTTCCTAAATCTGTCTTCTTCTCTTCAAAATATGAGTAGAAGAAATGGAGTTTAAAAATCTAAAATGCTATTTGACTAGATGCTAGAGGTTACATGTGACCTCGAGTTACTCGACTTTTTTTTATAGAGCAAGAAGGTTAATATAAGTTACATTTTAAGTATTAATTATTAAGCGGGCACCGGGCTGGCTCAGTCAGTAGAGTACGTGACTATTGATCTCGGGGTCGTGAGCTCGAGCCCCACATTTGGCAAAGAGTTTACTTAAAAAAAAATTATTAAGTAAAACCTGCATTTACAAGCTGGTTCTTTCATTTAAGCTTTGTTCATTGATAAAGGTTTTGTATTAATAAAATACATCAGTTATATTTTTGAAACAGAAAGCAAATGTTTCTAAAAATGTTTTATATAGGATAAAAAACAAGGAAAAAGGAAAAAGAAAAAGAAGAACCGTTCACATAAATCTTCTGAAAGCTCCATGTCAGAAACTGAATCGGACAGTAAGGTAAAATTACTGAAATTAGTAACATTTTGGATAGCAAACACATTTTTTTCTTTTAGGTCATCCTGTCTTAAATTGTTGTCAGTTTAGAAATGAGATGCTATTTTTTGTACTTTGATGGGCTGTGCCACTCAGTTGATAATCATATCTTATATATGCCATTTTATTGTTCTCTAAATCCTTCCTCATATGCCTCCATGTCTCAGCATTTCCATGACAGCTTTATAATAAATATGGCAGACATTATTTTTCCCATTTCCGTATAGAAGTGAGAGTTCAGAGGAAAAAACATACTCCACTATGTGGTCCAATGTCCTTTCCATTATACCTAAATCTGCTCTGTATGTCTAGAATTGTGAAACATAATTGGCTCTCAAACATTTGTGGTAATAAGAAATACATGCAGGTTGCAATAAAAGTGTAGATTCCTGGGCTTCATGTTGAGAGAGTCTGATTTAGTAAGTCTGCTTAGGCTCAGAAGTCTACATTTTTAATAGATATCCTCTGTGATTCTGATAGAGGTGTGTCCTTGGACCACAATTTCACGAACACTATCCTAGAAGCCCAGGAAAACAAAACAACTGGTTTTGGTGGGGCAGGTCTCTACTTGTCCTAGTGTGATTTCTTCTGACAAAATGCCTGGCGCCTAGAAAGTATTTAGTAAACGTTAGTTTTCTCTTTGTCTTTTAAGATAGAAGAGTCAATCTAATGATACTGATAGCCAGTCTTCGTCAAGTGGCTACTCTATGTTAGGCACAGTTCTAAGCACTTGACGTTTTTTTAGCTCAATTCTCTCAGTAATCCTCATCCACTTTATGGATGAGGAAGGCTCAGGGAGGTTATTGGCTAGAACTGAAAGAATCAAAAGCAGAAATTCTCACCTCTCCTCCTTATAGGTAGAGAGGAAAATCAGATTGGGGGATGTCTGAGGACAGTGTGAATGAGAACCCCAGTGCGTATGACCACTACAGGCAAAAATAAGCAAATGGCATTAAGTCTTATTTTAAAAGAAACCATGTGGTTATTACAGACAATGTCTATCATTTTCAGTGTATAGATTTGATATACAGCCAGGTAAAGGAAAAAGCCTCATTTCCTTACAAGCACATATATATGTGACGTACATTTCTCTTATTTTCAGAATAAAATTCTGGTATTGAAATACTTTTTTCAGTCATAGAGCAAATCACCTTTTTGCTGTTTTTGTCCTTACGCTCTTTTACATTTAAAATTGATATGTACATATATGTTTGTTTGCTTAGGATAGTTTAAAAAAGAAAAAGAAGTCAAAGGATGCAACTGAGAAAGAAAAGGTAATTATAATTTTACTTTAGTCTGTCATACAATACTTCATTTACTTTTAGAAATTAACAATAGTGTATTCTTCCTTTTAACTTGAGATTTATTTCTTTTGCTTTTATAGCATTTTGTGTTGATTTAAGGAAATTATTTATTGAATTCATTATCAAAGGTTAGAAGATCAGAAAAGCATTTCTGCTGAGTGTGAATTTATACAGATTAATATATTATCTCAGATTAAAAATTCATAATAATGAAGATTAAATATTTCCTTTGTTTCTTCAAGTCATTTTGAAAGAAGCCCTTTTAATAACAGAACATGGAGTTCTGTTTCAAATTGAGTGTACCATAGATAAGTTTTGAAAAAATTTTTTACTATAAGTAGATGTTTTATCTTCATTTATGCTTAACTATAATTAATGCTAAATTTATCCCTGTGTTTCTGATTTACATTTAAAAATCTGTTTCTGGGGGCACCTGGGGGCTCAGTCGGTTAAGCATCTGCCTTTGTTCAGCTTGGGTCATGATCCCAGGGTCCTGGGATTGAGCCTCGCGTCGGACTCCCTGCTCAGCAGGGCTCAATCTCCTCTCCCTTTCCCGCTCCCCCTTCTCTCTCTTTCTCAAATAAAATAAATAAAATCTTGGAAGAAAAATCTTTTTCTGGTTCTTAAAAACCTAAAGACAGCAGTTATTAATGAAAGAAAACTATAGACCAAAGTTACTATATTTTACTCAGTATTTTTATATATTTTTTAAATTGAGGTATAAATTTACATAATATGCTATTAACCATTTTAAAATTACAATTTGGGGGACTATTGTATATGTACAGTGTTGTGCAGTGACCGCCTCTCTAGTTTCAAAACTTTTTCATCACCCCCTTAAAAACAACCCATACTCATTAACTAATTCCCATTCTTCCTTCCCCCCACACCCCCTGGTAACTTCTAGTCTGCTTTCTATCTCTATGGATTTACATATTCTGGATATATCATTTGTTTTTGTGAATCAAAAATAGGAACTTTAGGGGCACCTGGCGGGCTCAGTCATTGTAGCATGGGACTCTTGATCTTGGGGTTGCAGGTTCGAGGCCCATGTTGGGTGTAGTGATTACTTAAAAATATACTTATTTACATTAAAAGAAATGGAATTTATTGGAATTAAAACAATCCTGCTTGCTATTTATGAATTGGGTATAGGAGGCAAATTATCCTTTGTGTTTTTTACAAATAGAATAGTATTAATAGTATCACTTTGGAAAGCTAGTTGCTTTTTGCTAACCTTAAGACAAATGGAAGATAGCATTAACATTGCATATTCAACAGATTTAAGAGCTAGATAAAAGCTTACCACGAAACCCTCACACTGCTGCTTCCTCCACCTCTTTTTTTAATTTTAATTTTATTTTATCCACAAATATTTAGTATTTATCTTTAAAATATAAGACCATGTTTAGGGGCGCCTGGGTGGCTCAGTCATTAAGCGTCTGCCTTCGGCTCAGGTCCTGATCCTTGGGTCCTGGGATCGAGCCCGCATCGGGCTCCCTGCTCAGCGGGAAGCCTGCTTCTCCCTCTCCCACTCCCCCTACTTGTGTTCCCTCTCTTGCTGTGTCTCTCTCTCTCTGTCAAATAAATAAATAAAATCTTAAAAAAAAAATTAAACAATACTATTGCGTATTAACATTTTCACAATAATTTCAAATATAATAAAATAGTGTTTCAGGGCGCCTGGGTGGCCCAGTCGTTAAGCGTCTGCCTTCGGCTCAGGTCATGATCCCAGGGTCCTGGGATCCAGTCCCGCATCGGGCTCCCTGCTCGGCCGGAAGCCTGCTTCTCCCTCTCCCACTCCCCCTGCTTGTGTTCCTGCTCTCGCTGTCTCTCTCTCTCTGTCAAATAAATAAATAAAATATTTTAAAAAAATAAAATAGTGTTTCAAAATGTCCTCATTTTTTCATAAAAATTTTCTATGGTTGGTTTATGTCATGATCCAAGTTCTTGGCAAGTTCTTGGATGGCATTTGATGACTAAATCTCTTAAGTCTCTTTTAATTTATAACTTCCCCTCCCTTTTTAAATTTTCCTCTTGAAATACATTTTTTAAGAGGACAGTAGAGTTTCCTATATTCTAGATTTTGCTGGTTGTTTCCCTTCCCTCGCCTTTTTAGAATAGAACACTGACATTCTTTATAGACTGTTCAGCTTAGGTCTGATTTTTTTAGTAAGAACCACCTGGCAAGTAGGTGATTGTGGTTCCACATGGAAGAGCTTCAGCAGAAGCTTTCAGGCAGCACCGAGAGCTGGCCAGGTTAAACCCCTGTCAGCTGTGCTGGTCACCGGGTATGCCGCTGGGGTGAGGGGGCAGGTTGAAGAATGATTCTCTCTGGGGCTAAACGTGACCAGGACACTTCAGACCACAGAGAGAGATGGAGACTCGGGACAGGTCCTGGTCCCCCCCCCCGCAGGGTATATCATTTAAAGGCAGTCATACAGTATGTCATTTGGACATATTAGACTTGGGAGAGGGAAAGGGAGAGAATTTTAAGCAGACTCCATGCTGAGCATGGAGCCCAGCGCCGGGCTTGATCTCATGATCCTGGGATTACGACCTGAGCCAAAACCAAGAGCGGGACGCTTAACCAATTGCAACACCCAGGCGCCCCAGGAGTTTCATATTTTAGATACTACCCATCTTTTATACACATGATGAACATTTTTTGGTCCATGGCTTCTCTTAATCTTGTTTAGGATGTCTGTTACAATAGTAAAAGGGTATAATTTTTCTTCTCCCTGGGCAGTATTCTCTGTTTTGTTTTTTTAAGGTTTTTGCTTTAATTCGAGTATAGTTAATGTAGTGTTACAAAAAGGGGTGTAATTTTAAGGGGCACCTGGATGGCTCGGTCAGTTAAGCGTCTCACTCTTGGCTCTGGTTCATGTCATGATCTCAGGATCCTGGGATCGAGCTGGCACTGGGCTCTGCACTCTGCGCTCAGCAGGGAGTCCACTTGAGGATTTTCTCTCTCTCCTCTCTCTCTCTCTCTCTCCCTGCCCCTCCCCCTGCTCGTGTGCTTTCTCTCTCTCTCCAAAATCTTTTTTTAAAAGGGTGTAATTGTAACTCATATATCAGTCATCGTTTTCAGCTCATTTTTAAGTTGTGAAAATGACAGTGTAATACCTAACAATGGAAGAAAATATCCCATTTCTAACAGTAACAAAGAATATATAGGAAAAATTTAAAGAACTGATCAGGACTTATCTAAAGAAAATTATGCAGATCTATTCAGAGAAGCACATGAAGATTTAATAAATGTTCTTCCTGGGTAGACATTAAACATTTTTTAAATTCTTGGATTAAAACATTTTAAACGCTTTGATTAAAATACTGTGGTATGGTGCAGGAATAGGGAGGGGAAAAAAAGGAAGTGGAACAGTATAGAGCCCAAGTAAAAATTTATAAGTATTTGTGGGGTTTAATATATGATAAAAGTGGCTTTTCTTGGGTCAAGAAGACTAGCCATTTAGAAAGTATAGAGCTGGACCCTCCTTAAGGCCAAATAAATCATAGGTAAGTCAGTTTTAAATGTATGAAAGTATAACTAGAGAAAGACAGGGGTGAATATAATATGGAGTAGGGAAGGCCCATGCCTCAAAACTCAAAAACTTTTCTTTTTTTTTTTAGATTTTATTTATTTATCTGACAGAGACACAGCAAGAGAGGGAACACAAGCAGGGGAAGTGGGAGAGGGAGAAGCAGGCTTCCTGCTGAGCAGGGAGCCCGATGTGGGCCTCCATCCCAGGACCCTGGGATCATGACCTGAGCTGAAGGCAGACGCTTAACAACTGAGCCACTCAGGTGCCCCAAAAACTCAAAAACTTTTGACCACATAATTCTAATTCTGAATGATGAAAAGAGATCACAAAAAAATAAATCATGAACAAAATTTAAATATAATGAACAGATTTAGGAAAAACTACCAGAAATAATTAAAAACTAATCTTTAGTAATTGAAAAGTGATACTTCACGTACAGAAAAAGTGGTAAAAAGCATGTTTAGGCAGTTCTAAAAGAAAATATGGACTGTATTCCAGTAATCTGAGACTGAGATGATTGATAAAAGAGCCTGAAACAGAGGTTCCTTGGTAAAGTGTGATTCCTAAAGGAGTGAAATAAACAATTGGGAGGAGGTGGGAGAGTAAGGAAATCATTTGGGTAAAGGCTACTTTGGTCTTTGATTTAGACGTTATTAGTAGGTAAAGATTTTGCACTTGTGTACCCGTCACTCCATTTCAACTGTTTTTTTGTTTGTTTGTTTTAATTTTATTATTTATTTCAGAGAGAACCCACAAGCAGGGGGAGGGGCAGAGAGAGGGAGAAGCACACTCCCTGCTGAGCAAGGAGCCCCATGTGGGACTCAATCCCAGGACCCTGGGATCATGACCCAAGCTGAAGGCAGATGCTCAACTGGCTGAGCCACCCAGGCGCCCCTCAACTGTTTTTAATAGCAAATAACCCATATATATTCCTGCCCTCCAGAAAGAGTTGGGTTAAGTAAGTTGTGGCATATGCTTTCAGTGAATGTCAAAGGCAACCATAAATGATGATGTAGTTGGCATGGAAAGATTGGATGACAAGAACGGGTTCCAAACAGCAAGTATTTATGTAAAATTGTAAATGTACACATAGTGAGATATTTCCAAAAATCTTCATGTTTTTTTTTTTTTTTAAGATTTTATTTATTTATTTGAGACAGAGAATGAGAGAGAGAGCACATGAGAGGGGGGAGGGTCAGAGGGAGAAGCAGACTCTCTGCCGAGCAGGGAGCCCGATGTGGGACTCGATCCAGGGTCTCCAGGATCATGACCTGAGCCGAAGGCAGTCGCTTAACCAACTGAGCCACCCAGGCGCCCCCTTCATGATGTTTAATTCGTGGTAGTGGGATTTGGGTAAATTTGCTTACAGTGAACATATATCATTTCTATCAAATTAATAAAGCTATTTGCAGAGACAAAATTAAATCACCTGTAATATAACACAGGTCACTTTAGTTTATTTTCTAGGTGATTTTTTGTTTAATAATCTTCAAAATTAACTTCCTGTATATAAAGTTTTATATTGTTTTTTTCTGTACAGTTAGGTAGTGAGCATTTTTTTCATTGTGTGGTTTTGTTATCTTGTTATGAACTATTCAGACATACAGAAAAAGCATATGGAAAATAATAGAATGACAACTAGCACATACACTATGAAGCTTTAATAAATCTTAATATTGGGGCGCCTGGGTGGCTCACTTGGTTGAGCGTCCGACTCTTGGTTTTGTTTTGGCTCAGGTCATGATCTCAGGTTTCTCGGATCAAGCACCTTGGGCTCCATGCTCAGTGGGGAGTCTGCTGTCCCCTTTCTCTCTCTCCCTCTGCCCCTCCCCCCCACTTGTTCTTGTGTTTTCTCTCTCTCTCTCACGTAAATAAATAAATCTTTTTTTAAAACCTTAACATTTTGGGGTGCCTGAGTGGCTCAGTCGTTAAGCATCTGCCTTCAGCTCAGGTCATGATCCCAGGGTCCTGGGATCGAGCCCCGCGTCAGGCTCCCTGCTCCGCGGGAAGTCTGCTTCTCCCTCTGCCACTCCCCCTGCTTGTGTTCCCTCTCTCGCTGTATCTCTCTCTGTTAAATAAAAAAAATAAAAACCTTAACATTTTGCCATACTTGCTTCAGATGTTTTTGAAATTGTTATTCCTCAGAATATATATTTAAGTCCCTAAGTACTCCTCTGGTCTCTCTTCTTCCCCAGAGTTACATGTTTTCTCATCATTAAAAATAGAGGTGAAGTTTTTTTTAATGTGAATTTAACACTTGTAACACATGAAAGGAATTATTACTGTGTGGAGATCTTTTTAGATCACAAATTATTACCCATTGTTTTTCTTTTCTGCAGCACTAGGCCTGTCTGATCCAATACTGGGTAGAAACAAAACCTTCAGAATACAAGGGACTCAAATCTTACACCATCTCTGGGGTTTCTTATGACACTTTAGAGTTAATAATTAACTTTGGCTGGCTCAGTCAGAATAGCATGCTATTCTTGATCTTGTGGTCGTGAGTTCAAGCCCCATGTCGGGTGTACACATTACTTAATAAATATTTATTTTTAAAAAAAAGAAAATGAGAATATTACATCTTAGTGGACATGTAATTATTTCTTTTCAGGTTTTTAAATAAAAGCATTACTTTATGGGAATTAAATACTGAATATTGGTAAATGTCATCAATATTAGACATTTCTAAAATGAAAATGGTTTTTTTGATAATTGGAAAAACTGTTAATTAGAAACATAAAACTTGTGTGGCATAGCCTTACATCTTTTTGAGTCAAGGTACATGTATTTTTCTTAGGACATTAAAGGACTCAGCAAAAAAAGAAAGATGTATCCTGAAGATAAACCTTTATCATCTGAGTCCTTATCAGAATCAGATTATATTGAGGAGGTAAGTATTTGGTCAAATTCATTTTCTTCACTTTAAAATGTTTAATAATTTTTTTTTTAGTAAATACAAATTAGTAAAAAGAAATATACTTCATGAATATTCAATTTACTCACTTTTCTAGTATGTGCACTGTGAAAAAGAAATGGAAGTTCCATTTCAGAATGAGTTTTTCATTTTCTAGAAGATGATTATATAGCTAATATGGTAATTAACCATATTTACAAATCTCTACTTTGAGCTATTTTATTTTTATTCTTCTAAGAGTTACTTTTTACCATTCTAGTATTATGATTACATGACAGATGCTGTTTGATATATACTCTCTTGAAACCCAGCATTCCCTTGTTTTTGTTTGGAACTACTACTAGTGAGGGAGTAGGATGGTGATGAGGTAGAGCAGAAATGTTAGCATGATCTTTTTTCCTATCTATAAAGTAAGGAAGTAGAATTAGATAGTTTCTATAGTCTGTTTAGTCCCTTTCAGCCCTGATATTCCTATTTTAGATTTTGTTTGTACTCTATTCTTAGTTAATTTTAGGTCTGTAAGTTATCATCTTTAAAGTATTTCTCTCTTGGACTTGGTTTCCTCACTTGTAAAATGGGGCCTATTACCCCCCTTTTGTAGCAATATTTTGTAATGCCCCCTGAAATGAAATTGAAGTGAATTGAATTGAAACTTGTAGTGTGTGTATATAATGTATATAATGTACACATTTTAGATTAATATCCCCTAACAAATTTTTTAAAGAAATATAAGAAAATATTAATGTATAATTTTACTAAATAATATTTGAGTACATAAAATGCTTGAGAGTGATAACTAGAAGACATAAAATCTTAAGACATAACAAAATTCAAGCAGTAGCAGGTGCATTAAATATGCCCTTCAAAAACTGTACAGTGGCATTGTCATCAATGACATTTTCCAAAATGGTGAAACTCTGAATGAATGAAACAAAATATAGTCTTTTCTATAAGTGGGTTTATTATATGAATGTCTGGCAGGCTGTCTAAAAGTCATGTCAGGGCTGTCTTGGCAGTCTTGGACATCACATGACAGCGTCCCCAGTCTTGGTCTCGCCAAATGTGGATGCAGCACAACTACCACCATGCCTAGTCATTGTTATGACAAGACTAGCAGTAAGAAACAATAATTTCCTGCGTGTCCTCTAGAGCACTTACTATATGTTACACTTGGACTTAACATTAAATATACATGAGCTTTAGCAACTTGTCTTAAATTCACACTTTAAAAGATTAAAATACAAATGGGGTAATAAGTGTTACTTAGAAGGATTTTAATCAGTTGGTTTATACTGAATACACTATGCGTATAGCTACCATTTATTGAACACCATGGAGTAAGAGAAATACTTAACTTTGTTCCAGGCACTTCCCCTAGAGGGTGGATATTATCTCGATTTTACAGATGATGAAACTGAGGGTAGTACATAGCTGAGGTAGGATTCAGAGCTTGGTCTGTTTTATTTCAGAGCTCATGCTTTTTATCTACTGTATCTCCCTGCTTTTTGGGGGGGTGCTGAAAGGGAATATAAGGAAGCCCTCTAGAGATTAAAAAATCTTAATTTTCTTTAAATGTTTCTCATTGACTTGTCATTATGATATAACGGGTTTGAGGTATCATCAAAATGTTTTTTACACATAAATTCTAAAGATATAAGGTACATTAGGGAATGAAAAAAATGTCTTGAGTAAAAGTTACGTATTTGTCTTCTCAACGAAAATTCAAACTTTTTAGGTACGACCAAAAAAGAAGAAAAGCAGTGAAGAACGAGAAAAAGTAATAGCAAGTATCACTTATATTTTTTACATGACAATAGTGTAGCTCTTTTTGTTTACTATATAATGAATCATGGTAAAGCATGACTTCATTTGCTGGGTTCAAAAATTTATTGGGAAAAGTGTGGTGTTTAGCTTTACTTAGTGGGTTGGAGCAACTTAAATTGGCTCCGGAGAAAAGAATATCCTGGTAGCAAACATCTCCTGTTTTCATTTCAGTATTTTATTCAGTATTTCATTTTATTTTATTCCGTACTCAATACTGTGAGAAATGAAAACTTGAACTTTTGTTTGACTTTTTTGAGCTATAGTATGAAATACTAGGTGTAGTGATTCCTTCCATCCTTAATAGTAGTGACTTCCCGGTCGGCCAAACCTGGTAACATTAGCAGAAAAAGCCTCTCAGCACAGGTTTCAATGAAAAATAAGCAGGAATGTGGCAACATAAATGATTCAATAATAAATTGGCCATTTCTAAAGCCAGCTCTGCTATTATGCAGATGGAGAAGTATAAAAGGAGAAAGAAGGAAGAGGAGAATAAGGAAAATGGCAGTGATATCCAAATGAGAAGCAGACCAACCTAGAGAAAGTGGATAATAGATTATCAAAGAGTAATTGCAGACCATATCATTAAAGTCATTTAGGAGCACTCAGTATAAGCGTGGGTGATGGGCTTTTGAAGGCATTTTCTTAGGAACAGGTAAAAGAAAAATGAGAACAGCATCTTTTGTAGGTTTGAGGGTAACTTCCCCTTCCCAGAATTTCCCTCGCTCTTAAGATGAGGGTCCTTCTCTGATGGAAAGGTTCACCTGGTAATGTATGACTCAGAAGTAGCATTTTATATACTTCAAGACCAAGGTGACATTTGAGAGACTTTTTTTCTGAATGGGAAAGTAGTTTGGGTGAAGACTGCTTTGGTCCTTGGTTCAGATTAATTAAGACATAATAGTAATTAATTTTGGATGATTCTAATTTGTACTTGCATGCTGCACCGTTACGGGCATTCAGCCAGCGTGTGTTTATTAAGCATCTCTGTGCAGGCGCCGTTGGTGTCGGTAGTGCTGTTCTAATGGAATACAAGATAGGTAAGGGGGTGACATGTGAGAGCGGCTTTGGGGGGGAGCCTCTCTGAGGAAGTAAAATTAAGCTGAAATAGGATTTACCGGAAAGCGCTAACCACGTGAAGATCAAAGGAAGAATATCCTAGGCAGAGAGAAGGGCTAGGGACCTTTGGTAGGAATGAGCTTGACTTATTTGAGGAACTGAAATGGTAGGGGTGGCTTATACCTAGTAGATAAAGAGGAATAACATACCGGGAGTTGGGGAAGTAAGCAGAGACCATATCACAAGCAAAGAGTTTGTGTTTTAATCAGAATGCTTTGGGAAGCTGTTTTGAGTGTTTTAAAAAAGAAGTGACCTGACCCAACTTTACATTTTTAGAATGCTTTGGCAGAGGAGGTGGAGTGGACAGAGGCGAGTTGTTCATATCACGGTGGTAGTAGTGGAGCTGGACTAGCCTAATGGATTTGAGATATATTGTGGACTTAGACGGTAGGGCTTGCTTACCTAGATGTAGAGAGAGGAGTTAAAACAGAAAGTGGAGTCAAACATAGCTTAGATTCTTTGCCTTAAGTAAAAGGACAAATTAGAGATGCCATTTAACTAAGATGGCTAAGAGGAGTTGGAGAGAAAAATGAAGCATTGTTTATGGTAATTTTAGATATACCTATTAGGTATCCAGGTAGAACTCATAGTCTTGAGTTCAGAGCATAGGACTAGATACGAAGATTTAGTATGAAAATGGTATTTAAAGCATGGGAGATAGCCATGTGGAAGAGAAAGGAAGGAAACCCTGAAAGGTCAAGCAGAGGAAAATGAACAGCACAGGAGTTGAAGGGGCCTTTGCGATAGAAGAAAGCAGCAGATGGAGGTGTCGTGGAAGCCAAGAAGAAAAGTATTTTAAAAAGAGAGTAGTCACCTGTCCTTCTATGAAAAAGTAACCTATACCCAAAAGTTAACTTTTTAAAGGCCCAAATACAAGATTTGGGACTCTTTGTAAGATTCCATGTGTCCTTGAGCTTGTCATGAAAAGAATTATGAAAGTTAGCTTAAAGCCACTAAGTGGTAGAGACCTTTGAGAGGGGCAGGGGAATTGTGAAAAGTTGTAATTGATAAGGAAATGGGTAGGAAGCTCTGCTTTTGCTGTCTTTTCATGTCTCTTTTCTTGCTGAATATCAACAACTAGTCTGTCATTTGATACCACCTTTCTAAGTATCTGTTTCTAAAAGTTTTGCCTTCTCTTCTACATCAGAAATAGTCACAAGAGTCAGAGTTCAGCAAAATTATAGGTTTCTATCCAATCACAATTTGATTACTTTTTCTAGGCTTCTAAAAATTAAGCATCTGGGTGCCTGGCTGGCTCAGTCGGTATAGCATGAGACTCTTGATCTTGGGGTTGTGAGTCCAAGCCCCACATTGGGCGTAGAGCTTATATAAAAGTTTTTTTAAAAAAGAAAAAGCATCTGTTTCACTTAAAAGCTAATTAGACTTTTCAACTGTACATCAATATTTTTTTTACCAGTTGTTTTTCAGTTGTTAATTTAATAATTAAAATAGTGCTACCAGTTTAGACAGGACATAATAATTTGTGTTTCTGCTTACTTAAAAAATATCAGATTTAATATATCTGTTCCCCAAAACTGTCATTTTATAAAAACAATTGTGTTTTGCTGTGATGTGCGGATTTCTTTGTAGTAACTACAATTACTTCACCTTTAGAAATAATACGGTATGAAATACAGCAGTTGATATCATTATCCATAGAATTTATTTTCTTTGAATTTTGTTTAAAAGCTACATTTGTGTGCTAATGACTTAGAGTTTTTCCATATCTTTTTGAAAATCAGCAAGCACTCTTAAGTCCTCATATGATACTGATTATTGAGACTTTTCAAGAAATGTTCTGAGTAGTTTCCTTGGTTGCCTGGATTGTTTGAAATAATTATATAGTAGCTTAGAAGGACCCTGGTAAAGTTGTTGTTCTTAATTTGAGTATTTTCCTGTAGAAATGTCTAACAGGGAACTCTCTTTACAGGAAAAAACAAAAAAGAAAAAGAAGCATAAGAAACACAGTAAGAAGAAGAAAAAGAAGGCTGCTAGTTCAAGTCCTGACTCGCCGTAACATTAAGAAAAATCAGGATTCCCTTATAAAGAAAGTGCAATGTCTAAGGAAATTTCAACTGTGAAAATTATGACATAATTACTAAAATGCATGAATTTTCTTGATTTTAGAATTATTCCTGGACTATTCAGTAGCCACTCGGATGCTGCTGTGTGAAGGGCCATAATTGTTGCCTGCTGCTTGAACATCTGTTTTTTTCTCTTCCAGTGCTTAACAACTCTGGGAGATAACACATTGCAGTTGTGCTAGTGGTTAAGATATTTGGGGATAAAGTTAATATTTTTGACTAGAAGTATCTAATGATAAATCAACAGAAATCAAATCTGGATACATCATTAAGATGTAATTAGCAATGACCAGATGATTCTAGTTAACATTTTTGAAATAGGCATCACATTGATATTTCAAAATCCTTACTCTGTAGATAAGTGTATTTTAATTTTTTCCCCTTATATACTTTTATTTACCTGGGGAAGGAGCTTTTCGGGTTGGGGGGTGGTTTGCTATCTCTTTAGCTAGCAGAATAGCGTGCCTTTTATCCTCACACATCCTATTTTTGTGGACATAGTAGCCATGCTTCATGGGGAGGTCAGAGCTGAGTATAGCAGTCTTGCCCCTAGGCATCCTCGGACTCTGTCGTTTGCTGCTTTAAGTGAACCAGAGAAACAGCCCTTTGCAGCATGACAGAGCCCCAGAAGCTCTGGGATTTACCTCCACTTCAATAATACTGAATGTTTTTTAGCATTAGAATGTGTTAAAACATTTGAATTAGTTTTGACTACACTTTGGCTTTGGAGAAGAATCATTTCAAATAGACACTGGTACTTTTTGAACTTGATAGCTGAAGATTTAAAATGCATGTTTTATACTGTTAAGTTTTAACCAGTCAGGAAAGTTTTATGTAACCAGTAATACTTATTTTATTTTTGTATGAATTTTGTTTAGGCTGCAATGTTTAGCTTTTATTAACTCCTTATTCTTGCTATCTTAAATTCCTTACTGTGTTTAATGGCATACTTGCCAAGATACTTAGCATGTAAACAAAGCGGGCTTTTGATTTTTTTTTTTTTTTTAAACAGCTTCATATTGAAGCTGAGACTTACCATAAACAAGTTGAGTGGCAGGCCTGATATGCTGTGTCTTGTTACATAAAGCTATTGCCAGAATCTTAGTAAATATAACATTTTAGAAATTTGTCTTTGTATATTCATAACAAATTATGACAAGTTAAGTGAAAATTACATTATTGCTCTTCCTGTGTCATATTTTACTAAGATTTTGTGCCTCATATCTACTGCTGAACTGTTTACTAGTAATGTTAAAAGGAATTGATAAATCATTTTCACTTTACATTTTTATATAATCAGGTAACATATAATTTGATGTACAATTTTGCCTGTTACAGAGGGTGTGCTAATTATAGTGGTAATGCACAAAACATTTTGGCATGACAAGAGGCTGAATAAATAGCTATTTTATTTAAAAATAGCTGTGTTCTTATCAGCTCCCTTTGAGTCCCAAGTAAAGTTCCAAAGATCAAGAAACACTACCGGGTAGTAAGTGGATAAGACATGTCCCCAAATTTTTAGCTGTAAAAATAATATATTTCTTGGTAAGCTTCCTTAAATATTATGCTTAAAAGCTTCATACTCTTTTTCCTAATAAATCTATATGATCTTGAGTACACAGCAAGTTTGAGGGACATTTTTTATCTGAAAGGAATTTTCTTAGGATTGTTCACAAAAATGCTAAGATAAATTTATCAGGTTATTTGGTGATCATTTTTGGTGTGAACATAAAAGTGTTCCTCTGTAGACTGGTCCAGTACATGATGACTATGTCCCACTAGAAGTAACTGTTACTAGACTGAAGAAGAAGATGACCTGGCAAAAAAAAGTTGTATTCTTTCCAAACTATATTGACTGTCTGGGAAACACTTTTCTCGTTGTTCCTCTGCTGGTAGCCTTTTTTTTTTTTTAATTCACATAATTAACACCTAATATTAGTTTCAGAGGTAGAGTTCAGTGATTCATCAGTTGTATATAAAACCCTGTGCTCGTTACATCACGTGCTGTCCTTAATGTCCATCACCCTGTCACCCTACCCCTCCACCCCTCATCCCCCTCCCCTCCAGCAACCCTCAGTTTGTTTTCTGTAATTAAGAGTCTCTTATGGTTTGTCTCCCTCTCTGATTTCCTCTTGTTTTATTTTTTCCTCCCTTCCCCTATGCGCCTCTGTTTTGTTTCTGAAATTCCACATATGAGTGAGATCATATGATAATTGTCTTTCTCTGATTGACTTATTTCACTTAGCATAATACCCTCTAGGACCATCCACATTGTTGGAAATGGCAAGATTTTATTTTTTGATGACTGAGTAATACTCCTGTGTGTGTGTGTGTGTTTGTGTGTTTGTATGTACACATACCACATCTTTATCCATTCATCTGTCGATGGACATCTGGACTCTCCATAGTTTGGTTATTGTGGACTTTGCTGCTATAAACATTGGGGTGCCAGGTGCCCCTTTGGATCACTACATTTGTATATTTGGGGTAAATGCCTAGTAGCACAATTGCTGAGTTGTCAGGTAGCTCTATTTTCAACTTTTTGGAAAACCTCCCTACTGTTTTCCAGAGTGGCTGCACCAGCTTGCATTCCCACCAGCAGTGTAGGAGGGTTCCCCTTTTCTGCCTCTGCTGGTAGCCTTAACAGTCTTCTTTCTAATAAGGTATGGGAAGAAAATTTGACCAGGTAATGTTATATGCAAATTACTAACATCTCTTAACTTCCTCCCTCCAGCAGACCATGCTTTTTCTTGAATAATTTTACACCAGTTTTATAAACACAGGGCATGTTATTTGGATAATAATGCCAAGGTAACTGCAACAAAGTTGATGAGTGTCTGAATCAAAAAATTGAATTTATACCAGTACTTTTTGGATTCATTTGGTTGCCCTTGGTATATTTAGGTATTTTAAATACCATAAGAGTGTCCTGAATTTACTTTATCCAGAATATGGGTTCATATTCCTTCAGTTGGGGTGTGTTAAAAGCCTGTTGCCTAATAATCTTTCATTTCATGAAGAACAGTAGACTAACCTCCGAGAAATCGAGAACAGTTACTCTTCAGATTTAAGTGACAGGTTTCACTCTTTTAAAACATTGCCAGTTTTCAACTTAAAATCAATGAACACTCATCTGGTATTTCCTAAAGAAAACTTCTGGGAAAGATTTTTTGTTCCAGATGTGTTTGTCTTATTTTAAAGTTCATTTTTATGTTTTATTTAAAATTTATAAGGATGTAGTGTCCTAAATTCTAAAAATCATTTTAGTACATTTTCATGCCTTGCCATAGTGAAAGCCAGCAAACAGACTCGGAGATGTTTGTTCTCCATATTAGCATTTGACAGTAGACGAGAGTTAGCACAGTTGCTGTTTTTGGCCAGCTTTGTCATGGTCACAGCATGCTTTCTTACAGTTAGTCAGATACAAGTTGGAGGGGTATAAATAGGGATTTACATTTCCCTAGGAGCTCCCAGATTAAAGTCTCTCTTTGGAGATCATGAGAGGGTGCTTAGTTTGAGTTTTTATTTTCTAATTTTTTTTTAAGGTTTCTTTATTCATTTTAGAGAGAGTGCGCACAAGCAGGGGGTGTGGCGTAGGGAAAGAATCTCAAGCAGACTCCCCACTGAGTGCGGAGCCCATTGCAGGGCTTGATCCCACAACCCCGAGATCATGACCTGAGCCGAAACCAGGAGCCAGATGCCCAACCAACTGAGCCACCCGGGCGCCCCTTAGTTAGAGTTTTTGAAGGAGGTTGTAATATTTGAAGGAGCTTTTTATAACCTGGAAAAATACTTCATTTCAGTGTAAAGATAAGGTCTTTATAATCTAATTTCTCAATTATGTGTTCAGATAGGAAGGAAACATTTTCAACTATACAGTTTGTGCTGAGGAAAAATAAATGACAGTAATATCAAATACCACTTTAAGTGGTGTTTAGCCCTAAAGAAAACAGATGTTGGGATTGCTGTGATATTTCAGATCACAATAACATTAATGAAATCACTGCATTTGTACTGAGTTTACATAACAACCATGGCTGCATATTTTTTCAATCACTTGAGAACCTTCTGTTTGGTTGCTGGAATGTTGCCATGGTCACATTCTGTTGGGCATAGAGTAGTGAACTCTGGAATCAGTGGCAACCCAGGACACATAGGCTTGGAACTAGGGTATCTGAGAATTGTGCACTGTGTTAAAGCCACACTTGGCATGGACCAGAAGACTCTGAAGAAACTGGTGGAATCCATCAGTAATACTGTCAAGAACTGTAAGTACTGACCAGACATCCGACACTGCCTGAACATCCTTATTCCATCAAATAGAAACATTGATAGACTTGACATTAGCAAGTTCTTTGTAACCCCCAAAATAGGGTTTCTCTAATTTCTAATATTTTGGCCATTTAAAAAAATAGATCACAAGTGAACTTACAAGATCCCTGCACTTACACTGGAAATATTTAATATTTTAAAATATTTTAATCCTAAAATATATTTGTGTATGTGGAAAGAGTAATTTGAGAACTTCTATGACAGCATGAGTGCTAAAGGATTATGTTCCAACCAAGTACTGATTCTGTTAAGTCTGAAATTTGATAAGAGATTTCAAACTAAAGATTTATTTACTCTGACCAGTTCCCTGAGTTTTCTGGCACAAAACCCATAGAGGCAGGGGATTGCTAGAGCTACAGAAGATACTTTAGATGTTGAAGAAATAGCACATGGCGAGTGTTTATTAAAATTAACAGGTTTGGGGGATTCCTTGCCCTGATAGCCCCAACAGACCTTAAAAAGTAATTGTCTATATTTTGTCTCAGGCATGACAACAAGCAATCCTGACAGAATTTTGAGAATGTCTTTAGACTGAGGAAATTACTTTTAGTTCAGACCCTCGTACAGCCTCATTATTGGAGCTGTACTAGTATTAGGCACCACCCTAAGAATCTCATTGTAGACTTAATTCAGTTTTCTTTTACTCCAGGTGTATTTTAAACGACATGAGTTTCTCAGGCACTTCTAGGGCCTGTCTTTCTAATCCTGTCAGACAACCCTAAAATCTATCTGGCAGATTTAACCAATGTTGAATATGTTATCTTCTGTTATTTGCTGTTTTCTGAACAACCTGAGTTTTACAACATTCAAAAGGAAATTTTGCAGACTTTAAAAATCTAACTTCTCTCCCCGTCCTAAAGAAACTTTTCATTAATGTCTGCTACCCAAATGTGTGTTCGATACCATAATTTGTTATTTGAAAGCAATTCTCTGAAAGTCTGTAGGTTATGAATATATAATACTAGATCAGACCCATATCCCATATAGTCTCCTACAAAGAAGATACTTAGTAATTATTCGAAAAGAGAAATGAGTTGCATTCCTTTCCAAAGCTTTGATGCGAAGTTATGATCAAAAGTTCAGGCTATAGCTATTCACCAGTGTAACCAGATTACTATTTTACACTCAATTACTAACAACTCATGTTTATTGAGCTCTTCATTGGAAAATGCTGTGCTAAGTGGTTTATGTTCATCTTCAATTCTCAAAACAAACTCAATGAGGTAGGTGGTGTTTTCCATGTTTCCAGATGAGGAAACCCAAGTCTTAAATTGTCTAAAATTACAGTGGACTTTTCTAGTGGAGGCAGAACTAGAACTCAGGTAAGTCTGATGCCAGAGCCTGCACTCAGTCTTTATTTCTCAAATTAATGCTACTGTTAAGCATTCTAGACTCATATGGTCATTCTGTATAGTACTATCCCATAGTAAGTGCAGAATGAAAGTTGAATTTGGCTCACTACTTGGGTCCTTCAGTTGAGACCAGAATAGACACTGGCCTCTCATGACTGGAATTTAATTTCGTTGTTGCTGTTGTTTTAAGGTTTTATTTTTAAGTAATCTCTACACCCAACATGGGGCTCCAGTTCACAACCCTGAGATCAAGAGTCACATGGTCTACCAACTGAGCCAAGCAGGTGCCCCTGGAATTTGGTTCTTTAGGTAGGTGTGGGGAGGGCTAACGACTAGTGCCGTCTTGGCTGCCTTCTCTCAAGAAAGGACTGTTTTGGGGCAGCTGGCTGGAATAAAACATTCTAGAGCTAGAGCTGCACTATCCAGTTAACAGTAACCACTAGCTATGTGTGGCTATTACTTAAAAAAAACTTAAGTGATCTCTACACCCAAGGTGGGGCTTGAACTCAGGACGCTGAGATGAAGAGTCTTCACATGCTTTAGCAACCAAGCCAGGCAGGCGCTTCATTTTTTTTAAGTGGATGTGTGACTATTTAAATGTAAATTAAAATTAAGTGGCTTTTAAAATTTTTTTAAATTAATTAATTTAAAATTTAATTAAAATTTAATTTTAAGAATTAAATTGAATTAAATTTAAATTAATTAAATTAAATTTAAACTATATTTAATCTAGTGGGGGTGGCAGATCATTACCTCAGGGCATAATAAGTGGCTTTATGGGTATGCCACCTACACATTGTCACAGGGCCCTACGCTTAGTTTAATGCTCTGCTAACACTGACTTAAAAATGTTTCGAGTGAGCATCCCATGTTTTCTTTGCATTGGGCCCACAAAATCTGTAGTTTATCTTGGCTGTGTACCTCTTATTCATAGTATGGTAGGAGTATCTTCACCATCAGAATTACCTAAAGATTCATATTGAAAATGTAGATTCCTGGGTACCACCCTAGGTACATTTAAAAATCTGCAAGTGGGAGCCAAGCATCCAGATCATTCACTCCATGTATTAGACACACTGAAGCTTAAGAATTCCTGATCAAAATTGTCTTTTCCAAGTGAAACTTCAGTTCCTTTTTTTTAATGAGTTCAATCTCTTTTTTTGATTGTTCTAAATTTACACATTAAGTTGCATATTCACACATCCTTGGCAATCTGGTTTTCTGTGTGTGTGTGTGTGTGTGTGTGTGTATTTAATTAAATCTTTGGTTTCTGTAGAATTTGAAACCTAGCTAATTTATTGTCTTGGTATTATTTCTCACATTGGAGGGTAATTTTTACATTTAAGCCTTCAAACCTGTCATTTAGAAACAACTGATTTACAGGGGTTTCAACTACCTATTGCCTTTCCTTGTGCTTTAAACCCAGAAAATCATACTTTTTTCTTCCTTCTTTAGAATCTTGAGTACTATTACTAACTACATGGTGGCTATCTTCCCTTAGAATTTATTTTTTTAATTTAAAATTCAATTAGCCAATATATATCACTAGTTTCATGAAACTTCAGTTCTGTCAGCCTAATAGCAATCCCAGCTTGACTGATAGTGAGTTAGGAATTGACCCAGTCTTTTTCATACATACTGTTGTTTAGCCACAATTTTTACACCTAGTAGATTAAAACTTTTTTAAAGCTAAGTGAAGAATTTCAAAACTTCCCAATAATTTCATGTTGTTTGATTCAAGTGATTATTTTGCTAAGAAGTTACTTTGGATCCTGACTTATCTGGTATATTCCTTTACCTCTCCTGTTTACAAGGGGTTATCATTTATTTAGCAAACATTTATTTGAGAGCCTACTATTGTGCTTGGTACTCCTGGATGCTGAGTAGATACTTAATATAAGGATAAGAGATTTTTCATATGCCTTGCTAAAATCCAAATACTTTGTGAACTACATTTCTCTGATCCACTCCTACTAAAAGGAGGAAATAAATCTAGTATGATATACCCTTGTGAATTCATGAGGCCCTGAGTGTTGATGAATTTTTAAAAATTTATTTATTTATTTGACAGAGAGAGAGCAGGAACACAAACGGGGGGAGTGGGAAGAGGGAGAAGCAGGCTTCCCGCTGTGCAGGGAGCCCAAGGTGGGGCTCGATCCCAGGACCCTGGGATCATGACCTGAGCTAAAGGCAGACGCTTAACGACTGAGCCACCCAGGCGCCCCGATGAATTATTTGATACAATTGATCATCTCTTCTGGGACTTAGCCCAGGACCATCTATAGACCCAGTAGCCCAGTATTTGCCTTTCACTTTGTGAGACATAACATGGGCCAATATGTATGCACACATAGGTTAGTATACATACATATTTTCCAGCTATGTCTGCCGAGAGGGCTTAGAAATATTCTACCCTCCCCCATTATGTATTGGGCTTAGAAATATTAATACCCTGGTAGTAACAAGTACACCCAGTGCCTAGACCTTAGTGTCTAAATACCAGTCTCCAATAAAAAGAACCAGGATTCCTTGAAGAAGTAGCTGTACAGAGTGTAAAGGAAACCCTATGCTACAGCTGTGTGTTTCTCTTTTACTCTGACATTACTACCACATTTATACTTCTGACACTTCTGGTCTCCAAGTGTGTGGTTTTTTCCAGCAAGCAATTTTCTGTGGCATCCCAGCGATTTCTTAATCCTGACACCACCTGAGATGGCATCAGATCTCATAGGTTGAATTCAGTTCCACAAGACTATCTCCCACTTCTGGGGCGCCTGGGTGGCTCAGTCGGTTAAGTGACTGCCTTTGGCCCAGGTCATGATCCTGGGGTCCTGGGATCGAGCCCCACGTCTGGCTCCCTGCTCAGCAGAGAGCCTGCTTCTCCCTCTCCCTCTGCC